CAGTTAATCATATTATAACTATGTATTCTAGCACAGTAGATTATCAAACTGTTACAGGATTTATATCTTTATTTACAGTGGTTACTTGGGAAATGCTTCAGAACATGCCAGTTAGAGGGGGGCTTTTGTATGTTCATTATGTACTTTGTAACTCATTTCTATGCAATACACTACTCCTTTTCCACGCTCTCATTAGAGAGAATTGGTAATCCACTAGCTTCAAAATATACTGATCTAAATAAACCCCCACTTGCAGAAGTGTTATACAACAATGCTTCAAACACTAAGCTATAAAAAGTACTGAATCCGGAACTTTCCACAGAGTCTGAAAGCCTTCTAATTATGCAATGTTCAGTATATCATGATATTTGACAGTGCCTACTTCCTGTCTCTGCTGCCAATCCTAATTCAGGAGGGACTGACTCTCTCTGGAAATGAATATAGCTTAGTTTCCAGGTCCATTTCATCCTTCACTTCTCCATGAAGAGATTAACCCGATTAACAGTTAATGCCAGCTCTGGTGCTAGTATTTGTGGTATAAACACTTGTTTACTTGGAACAGGACTATGACTATAAAACAAGTTTTACAGAGGTCACCTAAACAGCCAAAAGCTGATAGATAACTTGTAATCAGTACTGGCCTGAGCTGGAGTTGAATTGTAATCTTCAGTCTATTCCCCGAGCCATGTGTTACTCAATGCCTTCCATTTTAAGAAGTCTCCCATAAGATAGGCAAGCTACTGAGGGCTCAAGCAGGAGCCTTCTGTGCTAGAGGCACCCAGCCCTGACTCCTGCACTGGGGACAACCCATGCAAATAGGGTAAACATGTTAGTAGGCCAGCAAGGATTGCCTAAAAACCCAAATATTATTCCCAGGAAGCTAGTTATTTCAGAGGTGGGGAACAGATATTTTGGTTCTAAACAGGATCTGGATTTCCAGTCAGGTCTTCTGGGTACCTGCAAGAGACACTCCTGAACAACTGGTGAACTGAAGTCCCTCCCTCTTCAGCTTGTCTGAACTAAGGGAAACAGCTGTGCTTATTTAGATATGTAATAGAGCAGAGCAAGAGTACCTCTTTACCTGTAACCTCTAACTGATGGAGTTTACAGAGGTCATTTTGACCTCAGAAGAGAGACAGAAGGGTCTGTCCACAAAAGCTGTTATGATCGAGAAGCCAGATTGTTCATAACAGGACCTGCCAACTTAAAGGTTTATCCCCATTTTAAGTACTGAAGTACCTAGCACTGGCTAAGTCCTTTGGAGAGAGATGGAAAATAAGAGATTCTACTTTCATGGACTACAATGACCTTTGGATCAGGCCCTTAGTAGATGTGGGACAGTGAGGACAGAAAGATACTGGATTTGACTTCAGCTATTATCAGGACAACGTATGGTATGAGAATGCTTAGCTTTGGATTTTGTGCAGATCACAAGTTGTAAATAAAACAAACCCCAGAAAAGATCTGTTTTTAAAAAATGAAAATGGATTCCTGCTGAATGTGCCCAGCTGTGCCAACATTCCCTCTCCATCCTGCCACACCCAAGCACCATATTGCATTTTTAGAGGGACAATATTCAACATTAATGGGCTAAAAAGATGCACTCGTACCTCACCCCTCACACACATTTTTCTAGAGGACTAAAGGCTGTAAGAAGAAGATTAGAATCCCAGGGCCTAATCATTCCTTTTCCCACCTGACATGCGTGTGCACACAAACTACCCCTAGATGAGAGGCCTACACTAGGTAGTCAGGTACCTCTGTAGCACCAGCACTATCCCACCTCCCAGGACATCATGGAGGGTTCTCTGCAAGATAAACAATCTTCAGCTGAAGAGAAAAAGTCAGATGGACGCATGGAGAATTTGCAGAAAAAGCAGCAAAGCCTCAGTCTGTGCTATCTTCCATGCCAAACCCCTACACGTGGGGGAATGTTCCTAAAGGGGGCCCTGAAGCAACTGCCAAGGAAGCTCTGAGAGCATGGCCTCATTCAAGCCATACTGCCAGGGATTCAGAGAGGGAAAAGAGCGCCAGTGCATAACCACCGGCCTCTATACCAGAGGCCCTGGCATCCAGCAGGTCCCACAAGCTCCATGAGGTTTTGTGGGCAGGTGGGGGGGGGGGAAATCAACAGCTAGTTCCACTGGGGTGATGGCAGAGCTCACCCACCCTTCCCCAAATTGAACAGTCTAGGTTCACACACTCCATCCCAGAGGAATTTCTTCAGAAGAGGGAGACTGAGCATCTGAATTAGAAACTGGGCGCGCTGCTGTTCAGATTCTGCATGCACTTCTGTGCATATCACACTATGCCATGTTTTCACTATTCTCACAAGGCAACAGGGAACAGAGAGCCCTGCTGTCTGAGCTCCACATCCCTGAGCAATACAAAAAGGAGGGTTGTGGTCACTTCTGATCCTCTGCCAGCTCTAAAGAACAGAGCAGTCACAAAAAGCAGAAGGACAGCGCTGTTTGCATATTCAGGTTAGCAATAAACTCAGCACCCTGTACTAGTAAGTCACTTAGGCTAGGTCTACACTACAGCGGTGTTCCGACCTAAGATACGCAACTTCAGCTACGTGAATACCGTAGCTGAAGTTGCGTATTTTAGGTCGGCTTACCTGGTGGTGAGGACGGGGGAAAGCCGACCGCTGCCGCGCTGCCGCCGACTCCGCTACCGCCTCTTGTCGAGGTGAATTTCCGGAGTCGACGGCAGAGCGATCAGGGATCGATTTTACCGCGTCCTCACGAGACGCGGTAAGTCGATCCCCGATAAACCGATTGCTACCCGCCGGATCGGCGGGTAGTGAAGACGTAGCCTTAGAAGTTGGAACTTTAAAACTGAGAAATAGGAAGTCAGATACATATTTCACAATCTGGGTGAAAGAAAAAGTTGTATTTCAAAAATTTATTTTATAATAGAGGAAGGTGGTTATATTTTAGTCCTATCATCCTGAGCAATATAGTATCCCTTTTAAATTAGAAGCTCTCTGTATTCTGTCCACATTCTTTGTTAGCTCGCAAAAGACAAATATACATTTCAGTGCAAGAGTAGGAATAATCACAGACCAATTCAAGTCTGAGCAAAGGAAAAATTGGGTCTCATTTGCTGTTTGTAGTGTGGGACATATTACAAAGTTTTTTATTTCAGTTAACATTAAAGCTGCATACATGGAAGATTAGAAGTGTCTTTTTAGGGCAGGTCTACACTACGAGGTTAAGTTGACCTAAGTTATGCAACTTAGATCGACTTATTACAGTGTCTACACCACACTGGGTCAATAGGAGAAACTCTCCTGTCGACTTACCTTACGCTTCTCAGTCAACAGGAGAGCAATCTGCGGTCAATTTAGCGGGTGTTCACTAGACCCACTAAATCGACTCCTAGTGGATCGATCGCCGCAGCATCAATCCACAGTAAGTGTAGACATACCCTTAGAGATACAAAAGCTACACAAAAGAGCAAAGTGCATTAGCTTTAAAACAAAGAAACCTGACATTGTCATTTTTAAAGCCTCCCAAGTTCAACCCACAAACATTTCACATATGCATGTATGTAAAATAGTACACAGGTGAACAAGGAGCTAATCTTGCAACTTGTTGCACATTGGCAGACTGCTGTGCTAGAACAGGATCAGAGCTTTTTTGTTTTTTAAGCACACACATGTTTTTCTGGTACAAATCAGGAAGCTTCTTTGACAACTTGTTCCTGAAAATGCATTTTTGCCTTATGATCTCATACAATAATTTCTGGTTATAATACACATTTTGCTTTGTGCCAGGTAAAATTCATATTTTTTAAAAAGAAAGAAAGGGATAATAGCAACTTAAAAAACAAATATAAGCCATACTTCTTTCAGAACATATTCCACTGAACAGGTATAGAAGTGAAAGAGTAGAGAAGAAAGTTCTCTTTTTTCCTTATCCAGTTTACTTTGGTCACTTAATAATACTATGCAAGATTGGGGCTTGCAGCGAACATTTATGCACATGCTTAAAGTTACTACATGAGTAAAGTTACACACAGGTTTAGAATATGTGCAAGAGGGGAGTCAGCTTTCCCACTTTTGGCTCCAATCCTGCATCCAGTTAATAGGGTCCACTTGTACAGGTTGAGTTACAAGATCAGGGCCTTTGGATAGTTTCCACCCCCCCCCCCCCCCCCAATACAGAAGAGAGTTTTCTTTAAAAATAATAAATAATAAATAATAATAATAATAATAAGATACAATTGTAAAACACTTAGAGGCAAATGTATTTTTTTTTAAAAGTCAAAATTATTTCAATATAAAGTAGGCTGAAATTTAGTTTAAACAGTATCTCTGTTACTATTTCAAACTTACAGCAATGAACATGCTTACTAAATAATTAGACCTCTTTGAAGTCTTCCGTGAAAGGCATTGTATAAACATTTTTATTATAAAACACTAAATGCAAAGCATTTTCATTTATTTTATAATGGTTAGAAACATAGCTTTCTCTTTGCACATGTTGTCTTAAGAAATTTAGACTTTAGTAGAATATAGAAACAATGCTAGAAGTGTATGGCATTAAAATAGTTAAGCTTTTGAATGAACACAAATTCTGGACTTCCAGAAAAACTTTATATATATAAAGCTTAAAATAAAAAAGTTATATTCTCTGCAGATACCAAATTATAATAATTGAATTTTGCTATACATACCTACAGTTCTCTATAGTACAAGGAACACAGAAACTGAGTCCTCCCCCCCATCAACATACATTTTTTAAAAATTCTATTTACAGTTATTACTTTCTAATCACAGGAAAGCAATCATTAACCTTATGCCTGACCTACAGTATCTCAACAGAAGCTCTTAAACCAGACTGTAGGACACCTGCTCTTTACTTGCTACATACACCTTGCTCAACATAAAGCAGTCATTTCTCCTGGTACCACAAACACTCTTAAAACTAGTATTTTGGTAAATGGTTTTCAAAGCATTTTGGCTACCAAGGGAATCTTAACATCACGCTTACCTTATCAAATCATGCAGAGTGCTCTAGCCAGACTTCCTGCTTTCTGACAAGTTGTATCATACTTCAGCAGAGGGGTGGAGCCAAACAGCTTTTTAATCAGAAGGGAACAGGCCCTAGGGAAAGCTTGTTAAAGCAAGCAGGAGGTTAGGAAGAAAGGGAAAAAATAGTAATGCTTTAAATTAACTTTTAGAAATACCTGTCTTAATAAATTGCCATAAACATTTACCACACCACATATAAAGTCTACTTTATTTCCCTTTACCCTAATGAAAAATACATGATATTTTACTCACTCTGGGGGAAAAACACTCTTCTTAGGCAAATAGGCAAGAAGAATTTTGCCAGGCTGCAACAATTAATGCATATAGTTATGCACACACTTAACTTCACTACTGGATGTAGCCCATTGATTTCAATGGGACCATTCAGAGTAGTAAAGTTAAACAAATGCATGTTTGCAGAATTGAGAACTAAGGCCCAGATCCTCACAGGTATTAATTAGTGCCTAACTCCCATTGAAATCAATCTGAGGATCTGAAAGCTAAAGTCCTAATCATGTAATGAGCTCTAGGCAAGCAGACCTATTTCCATGAATAGCTGTATTAACTTCTGAGGGGCTTTATGTGTGCACATGCCTCTGCCTGCATGTTCATTTTGGGATTGGGTCCTAAAAGATCAAATTCATATTTCATTAATATGCATTTTTCATTTTAATTTTCATTAATAATAAGATGTGTTAAAGCAAATTGCAGGGAAATCTTAAAAAGTTATAGAAGCAGGAGAGCTATATTTGCCTCCAAATGAAAACATTTGAGAATATTTTAGAATAATTTATTGGTGGGGGCACTATTTCTAATAATTGTTAATTTGTAATTAAGGGCATTGTCTTGCTATCATTATATAAGAACTTTCCCCAGTTGCTTCCATTGAAAGGCAAATTAAAATGGTTTGTGTAAAACTTAGGACTGATCTTGCAAGTTGACCTATACAGCTGCACCCCTATACAGACCCCCCAATCAAGTCAATGGGGCTTTGTAGGAGTCAACCTTGCAGGATCCAGTGCAATCAATAAGCATATTTTGTTTTGCAAACTTGAAATGTTAAAAGTTACCTAGTAATGCTCTCAAGATACTATCAGACCTTTGTACCTGTGAGGTGCCCTGTTAACTTCATTGAGGCTCTGGTCCAGATCCTCAATAGCATCTAGGCACTTAATTCCCATTGAAATCAATGAGGATCTGGCCCTCTGTGGCTATGCAACGATCCTTCCTGCAAACCATTATGCCTGTGAGAAATCTCACTGACTTCAATGAGACTACTACTCAGAAGTGTAAAGTTAGTCCTGGGTGTGCATGTTTGCCAGATTGCAGCTTTTATTACCAGCAAAGCAAATATATACTGTCTTTAATTGGAAGTCTGCTTGCTTAAGACTGCCAAGGGGCCCTAAGTATTTATGCAGACATCTTCTGTCACAACTTTAATGTCCCTCATGTTTTGACTAAATCTTTTATTGCTCAGAAACCACAGTATCCTTAAAAAAAAGGAGGGGAGGGGAAAGAAGCTGCAGCAAATATTCATAAAAACTCAAAAGATATTCAGAAGCAGTAAGTACGTCCCTTTTCAGACCTGTAGAGCCTCTCCTATTTACTGCAAAGAGAGAAGTTTTTTGTTTTATTAAGGTTTCCATAGTTTCTGCCCCACTCACTGAGATAACAACATAGGGCCATGAGATAACAAGCTCTTATCCTCTTTTCCAGACCAGCCAATATAGGGAGCATAGTTCAGCACAGCTGAAGTCTCAGCCCACAGACTTTAAGAGAGAGTATAAGTCTTCCAATGAATTACATTAATCAAATGTTCATATTGTGTGTTTGAGTGCTGGGCAAAACTGTATATCTATATTTAGCTGGTTATATGTTAAAATTGAAGGGGAGTTTGTTGTGGAACGAAGAGTCTGAGAGTGTTTAGATATCTTGATGTGGTATTTGGGGCTGGTATGAAGGGGTATCTTGTCTTAAATGGTGACTTTGACTTCCTGGAGTTTTAGATGTTGCTTTATTAGGAAATGCACTTATGCAAACTCAACTGTAAATTAAAGATTTTTTTGTGTGTGGGAATTTAAACTGAGCATAATGACATAACATTATGATTTCCCTAGCGTGCTCTCAATGAAAAATCATGACTTTAATAAAGATACTGATCTGAGTTACTATATCCCTTCCTAACTCCCCTAATGCATTGCTGGCCTCTGCATAGGAGTGAATTTCACTTATGATGATGCACAGTAGCAATATTATATTTATATTATGTTTTGACATGATGTGCAGTTAATCCACTCAGCGGCTTATTTACTAGTAAACTGGAACAATTTTTATGACCTCATTGGCATTCAGTTATAATTAATGCTAGTTAGAAAAATATAACTATCTACTGAAATATAGGAGACTTGCTTAGTATCATATAATTTCTCTCTAGTCCCACTTTTCCTAGATTACGTCGACCATCAACCAAGTTCAATACTATGATGCATTTTAGAGATGATCTATAAAAGCATATTCCAAGGTAGGTTTACGGTGCAAAATAATAATGAAATGTCGATTCCATAAGCCATCAAATTGTTAGTGTTTAAGGCCCCGATCCTGCAGTGATCTTCCTCAGTGAAGTCATTGCATAAGCAGGTCCTTATTGTGTAGTATCTAAAGAAACACCATACAAAATCAAAATATAGGGGTGTTTGTTCCAGGTCAGTAGCAAATAAGGTTACTTCATGTCCACTTTCCACTCATAAGTAAACCTAAAAATACAGTCTTTTTGATAAAATTATGAGTCACAAAACCCACCAAAATAAGGTAAATCTGAATTGAAAAGTGCCCAATCCATTTCTCTGTTCTAATTTACAACCACTTTGCTTGTAACTGTTATTTGTAAACCACTTAAAATATAGCCAAGTTAGGAGAACTCAGTTGGAATTAAGGTCTCAGCAGTCGGCTTGTGCAGATCTCATTACAGTATGAAGATCTGTGCCTCTGAACGATGGGCTGGAATTATAAAAGATACAGCTAATTACCTGATTTTCATCTTCACAGAGGGAGGCTCAGCTTTGAAATGTAACCCTTGATGCCGTTTTAGTGTACATTTTGCTGATAACAGTAGTTAGACATTGGAAAAGTAAATCCATTTGTCCCTCCAGGTTAAACTGGGCAAAAGGAGGGGATGACATTTTGTTGTTGCTCACTTGTTCAGCTCCTCTGATTTCAATAGCTGTTAGTGACTGTTTTATAACAGTTTGGCAAATATTATTACACACACAAAAAAGAAGGAACCAATAATAATAAGTGAGAACAGGTGCATATGCTCCCCCTAAAACAGCGACCCTTAATCTTTCTCCAGGGATTCTGCAGCTTTTCAAGCTTGTTGATCCCATTTCCAAAATACACAAACAGGTGCACAGTCCTAGTGAAAATGTTTCCATAAACAAGATTCTTATGCTGTAAGAGGCAAATCATTTTTAAATTTAATATTTCTGCACAATATGCAGTCAAAGCCAGAAAAGAGTGTAAGAGTTATATCAAGGAAATATACCCCCACAGGGTTCCTGCAGCCCCCATTGGCCTGGAGCGGCGAACCGCGGCCAGTGGGAGCCGCAATCGGCCAAACCTGCGGATGCAGCAGGTAAACAAACCGGCCCGGACCACCAGGGGCTTTCCCTGAACAAGCAGCGGCCCGACTTTGACAAGCACTGCTTTAGAGGAGATGCTCCTGTATTACCACACTGAGCCTCAGGGAGACTAGCCCCTGGACTCCAGAAGCAATGGCGACAGAGGCTCAGGACCCCGCTTCTCAGATTATTTTAGGCTCCAGGGCACAGATGGAAGTTGCTAGCAACACAACAAGACCCAAGCGTAAGCTAGAACTCAGAAACAACGGGTTTGGTTTTGCTTTCAGTTTTGGCTTTTGTTTGGAGATGGAGTGTAGCAGAGAGAGAACCATCACAGCTAGGGAGAACCCTTCTGTTATCCACACTCCTACCCAAGGGAAGACTTTGAGCCCTTTGGGGATTTCTGGGACATTGGACAGTGTCATCTCAGCAGAGACCAGAAACCCAGGAGCCTGAGGAGAGAGTCATAGTTAGGCTACCAAGAGGCAGCCTAACTCCACATTTGAATCCAGACCAGAGAGCCACAAAGACACTCTTACAATTCTTAGTGTGGATACTTTAAGAACACCCTTGTTTGTTTATTCTGATATTGTGTTTTAAGCCATTCTCTGACTTCAGCACTGCACCGCCCAGCAAAGACTGTGCCTAAACTCACTGTTTGCCTAGGCAGGTGCTGGGAGAGAGCGCAGGGTGGTGTGTACTGGCTGTGAACATTTGGAGGGATACCGTTTATATATTGTTGTTTTTGTCTTTTATTATCCTGATCCCTGGTTTCCATTGTCCCTTATCCTGAGTGCCCCATACTTAATAATGGCCAGGTACAGTTTTGTTACTTTGGGAATTGTGATAGCTATTTTATGGTTGTGTGCTCTCACTGACACTCCTCTGTATGAGAATATTTACACAAGGGACAGAGCCTCTGTGCTGTCTGCACTAGAAGGGGTTTCCTTGCATGGAGGGATCTGGTGCCCTTATAGGTGAACCCAGGACTCATACCCCAGAAAAGAAAAAGAAGAAGGCTGCAGCCAGACTTCAAGGCTGGATTAAATATGCTTTTTTCTTTCGGTAATAGTGTATACATATGCAGTCATTTAAATTGTAGTTATAATTAGGAATAGAAAACTGCTCCTCGGGGGTTGCTCTATCATTTTCCCCAGGTCAGTACAGCTTTTTTGTTTCATAGTCTTACTGCCCTATAATTGGAGAGTAACTGATACAATATTTGTGTAAATATAAACATTGTTTTTGTACAGTATTTTCCATTTGACTATGGTTATCCTCTTGGGATCAGCAATAAGTACAAAAGAATAAAAATGTCCTCTCTTCAAGGTCTCTCTATACAGATAGAGAGAGATCTTGTACAGATCTGTCTGATTCTCCCTTAACATCC